GTAGCGTATATTTCTTTGATTCCCATTCTCCTATACTTAATTAATTTCCGTGACCCTACCATCGGTCAATTTAAAATTCAACACAATCCCGATACAGTCTAAGATTTTGTAACTTAGAGCCGTAGATGAGTGAATAAAATCTATCTTCTCTCCATTGGATACGTTTGGTATACTTTTACCTTTGAAAAGGCTAGGGATAGCAACTTATACTTACATTCTTTTCAACTTCTGAACTGGATTTGCGAAAACTGAACAGCATGGAAATGCTTCACTCTACTACCCACGGTGCCGTTGTGATTATAGCTATCAGAGGTGTGAAAATGGAGCTGTGATTACATGTCTCCATCCACAGGGTTTATTTGGGCGTTCTCACCCGTAAATAATTTAATGAGTTTTTCGGAGTAAACAAACAAATCAACCGATTTTGACTGTTNTGTTCAATACCTTGAGAAAAAGCTTTTCAGTGCCCTGTAGCGTGCAGAATATCTGGTCGTCCAGTTTTAAGTTACTAACTTCATTTCGTTAGTAAATACCTTAAACATGCTGACTAATAGATGATATTGTAAAGCTCGATCGCCTCAAAAAACTCAAAAATGTCTTTCCGGTGCATCTACACCTTTTCCCATCAAGCTTTAGCCAAAACCCGCTTTCTACTCATATTCCTTTAGCCTCGACCCGTAATCCTATAGCCAAACCCTGCAATGCCTTAGTTACAACCCGTAGTTCTTTAGCCCTGATGCACAAAATTTGGTCATATCGCTATAAGTGAGTCAAATCAAAAAGTATCGGAATATTCTGGGGTTCACTACTGTTTAAACATACTATTTCCTACAAACGTTGATGTTGGAAAGCTTGGTTAAGAAATGAGGTGTGGTGGTCGAGCACTGCATTGCACGTCGGTTGGAGAAGTTGTGAACGATAAGCCGTATCGTCAAACCATTGGACACATCTCGTACACCCTAAGTAATTCCGTATCATGCGATACTCCCGCGAGTAAAGATCTCAATTATGACGCAAACGGAACATTTTTTTGCATTACCGAGCCCTGAGATGAATCAAAAGTGATGACACCAAAAGTAAATGTTTACCATTCCGCTTGAGCCTCAAACTTACGGGTTTCGCATAAAGATTGATGCAAAAGGTGTACTGACGGGAGTGTCTTTTGTGAAAGCTGTTTATTATCCCCGCACTGCTATTGTATCAATGAACAGAGTTCACTTTAAGTGGAGCTACGGAACGGTAAGTACTAACGTTTTCGTGGTCTCACTTTTTGATTCATTCCACATGTTATACGGAGACACTGAGGCTGTACGAGATGTGTCCAATGGTTTGACGATACGGCTTATCGTTCACACCTTCTCCAACCAACATGCAGTGCAGCGCTCGACCACCATACCTCATTTCTTAACCAAGCTTTCCAACATCAACATTTGTAGGAAATAGTACAATGCGATTGCTCCATCGTTTCACACTTTTTTTTCCTCTCACCCGTTACTTCAATAAGGTAAATTCCCTCTGACCCTCTCTGTGATCTGATTTGATAATTTTCCGCTAGTTGCGGCACTTGGAATCCATCACCCCAACAAGAGACTGGCTGATTACTGTAATGCTTGTAATGCGGTTGTTGTCATGTGCAGTCCATCCGCGTGGTGTCACAGAATTCGATGCTCAAGGTTGATACAGAACAATTAACGTCCCTTCAAACCGAACCGCTTAGAAAAATGGAAAAACAGTTCATGTATCTTAGACGAGTCAAGCGTTGGCGCAGTGTCATCATCATTATCGGATTTGAAACTAAGCCCCCTCCCATGTCGACCCGGAAACCACACGACCGATTTGTCGATCGGTGGGATTGTTCAGCGGCAACGATTGACCGGGTGCGCAGAATGATCTAATCAGATCGCAGAGAGGTTCGGGGGCAATTTGTGTGTTTGGGGTCACGGGTGAGAGGGACAAAACAATGTGAAACGATGGAGCAATCGCACTGTATGTTTCAGCATTAGTTGATCTCAGAATAATCCAATACTTTTTTATCTGGCTCACCTATAGCGATATGACCAGATTTTGAGGCATCCAGGATAAAGAACTACCGGGTATTTATCTAAAGCTTGGTGGGCAATATGAGACCGAACAAATGAGAATGATGCGTGAATCACGAGTAATCAGTTGTTTCAATAACAGACTCGCACGTTTCCTGAATGTGAAACAAATAATCCGGAAATGAATCTCCTCTAAGATGCGTTTGTAATCAATACTATACTTGGTATGATCTCACTCCATTTAAATCGGCGCAGCGACTTTAGCCAGTACGACAAACAACACTGATCGACTGCTTCATGTACGCTATCGTGCCACATTCCGAACACCGATCATGACCGTTTACCAAAGCCGTTTCGTTATTTATCGAAGTTCATGAGTTATTTTTACCGAGTGCAGCACGGCAGTGATAGTGAGATTGGAAGACGGTTATTTAAACGAACCAGAAAATGTGTATATAGAAGGCATTCGAATGAGAAACCCAATATATAGTTTAAAAGTTATTTCAAGTTCAAAATTCCTTTGGCAATCACTAAAAACTTGTCATTTAAATTAAGTATTTCTTCCATATCTTAAATCATACTATGCAAGCAATTAAGTACGTTTCGCAACTACGGCAAGGATTCGACGAATGTCACCTAAAATTCAGAGGTCCCTCAAGGTTGCCCACTTTCATCGGTACTTTCACACTACTTATTCGATAGGACAATGCAAGATGCGGTGCAGTTCGGTTTTGATAAGTGAATTATGACTTGTAATTTGCCGATGACACCGTGGTCCTCGATATAAAGCTCCAAAGCATCCAACCGGCTCTTATTCGCATCAGCAGTTAGACCAAAGTCATCTGATTTTGAACTAATTTGCTAGAAAATGAAGTATTCTCGGCAGCCTTTCGCTCCCCAGCGCAGCTCAATCAAAGTGACTACGAACCGATAGAACAATTCAAATATTTCGACTCTGGAACCCAAATTAACCTCAAAGCCTAAGAGTAAACTACACACGGCTAAATACTGTATGCAAACGGCCGGCGCACTGGAGTTGCACTTAAATCGCTCCACACACAACGATGCAACTCCTTCAACCTATGGTCCGTTTAGATCTTTGAGGCGACCGGTACAACCTAGATATTACACTCATGCCACATGCATGACTTGCATTTTTACGACAGTTGATAGATGTGATGTATCTTGAAGATATAATAGCAAGAACCAGTTTCCAACGAAGTGGATAGAAGTGGCAATAAAGACGTTTGTCTTCTTTTCTGCAAAGCCACCGTATTCAGGGATTCCACCATGATCTCTGACAACCTGTTAAACCGTTTCCAAGCAAGCCTTTTCCCAAATGACTTTCCGAGAGTGACTACCAATTGAGTTATTCAACTCAGACGTGAGTACGCGCTGTTGAGGAAGGTATGAAGGAATCAGTTCATCTAAACATCTGCATCCCACGGGAATGAAACAATAAATGACTGCCAACTTACCCAAACGTTACAGCAAACCGATAGGCGTGGATCAAAGTGATCCGAGATATCAAATGATCTTATTTGATCTGAGATAGAAGTCACAGCCTAAGAGCAAAGCAACCCAAAGCAGCAACGGATGCGTCAGTCCAACAGGTGATAGTTGCCACTTACTTTGAACCGCATTCAAATTGAGTTCAATGTATTTGAGGCAGCTCATTTGAAAGGTATAAAACAATCAACCCAACAATAGTTTCTTATTGGTGATTATTACACGATTTCAATTCAAGAGCCTAAACAGTTATTATTCCAGTAACAAATCCAAGTTCAAAGAAACTAACCTCTCTCTAAATCAGCTATTTTTGTCAAATGTATAATCCGCAGGTTAATTATAGAAATACTGTAAAATGCGCCATTCAGACTGCAGTATGTCTTATTTTGGTTTGATTCATATGAAAGCAACTTCAACCACTCTACCTTTATGGCTCCGTGAGAGTCAGGCAACCTTAGATTGGACCGCTAGAATATAGAAGTACTCCTTTCTCGACTGAGAAAAGTAAGCAATATCGTCATTGTAAAAATAGCTCACATGTGGCATAACATCATGTATCCTACGTAAAATTTATAGATAAAATACGTCATCTGATCAACTTATGATTTGATAAAAACAAAAACCATAATAGGGAGAAAGAAATACTTTAGCCTCAAGATGCTCACAAATCCCATCGCAGTTCGGTTATCTACAGAAAAATGCAAAATTGTAGACTAGAACCTGTTTCAACTTCGTTAGTAAATTTGGTGTTCCTATTCCATTGAACGGCTATTGAATATCTACAAGCCTATGCGGGTCAATTCACATTGCTATATGACGTGCAATATTTGTTCACCTACGGAGGTGTCCGTACTTCATCATATCACTTTCATCGTGAGGTTATCAACTGGGAACCAACTCTTAGGAATTCCTTTCAGTATTTTTAAATTTCGGTGAAACCGTGAGATCTTCACAATCCTCACCAAAATAGTTGTAAACTCGCTTAATGTTCAAGATGCTATATTAATTTACTTCTGGTTTCATTCCCAATCGCACCAATTCTTACCTACCTTTTCCTCCTCCAATTGCAGTCTAAACTTGTCGGTATCCACTCTCGTTTAACCGAACAGGAGTACACCCGGACCCTAACCCTTAGGTGTTATCTAAACAATACGATGCCATGCACCAAACAAAATAAAAGTGATGGCAGAACTGGATGTTTTCGATGAATGCTATGCCTGTAGCGTAAAATAACAGTCGCTTTAAGGCTTGTCCTGATTCAGTAATACGTAAAATAATTTAACACAGGAAGTCATTTGCCATGTAAATCAAACACTTTTTATGCGTCAGAATGAGCAACCTCTGGCAATGATCACACAAACATGTCAATTAAAAAGATGCACAAGACAAAAATCACATCAACTCCTTTGTGTTCACTTGTTCAAATTTGGAGGAACGAAATAACAAAGTTCATCAAGATAGCAACTTTCTTAACTCTTCAGCTGTCATTCGATGGTGTGGCTGCTCTGGAGCTTTCTGTTGAGTGCTATGTCGAACAGTCCATGGTTCGTACATGGAGACGACGGGTTTAGTTGTCCGACTCAATTCGTTTTGCTTCTCAGTCACCTTCGGTTCCGTATCTGAAGCGGATTTTAGAACTGGAACAGTAAGGCAAACAAAGTAGCGCTTCTCTGTGCACGGATGAACACCCCACTGACCCGAGAGATAGTCCACAGAAATACAACGCTGTTCGCCCACACGCATATTGGACAGTTCCTCATTGGGCAATCGCAGGAGGCTAAAATCGCTTCGACTACCATCAGTCCATTGAAGCACACATATTGGACGCATGTACTCGTTTAACGTTTTACTCACCGTACCGCCAATCCAGAATGAGTGCTTCTCCTGTTTGGAAACCCATTTGACGAGTGCCAAGGTTTCCGGATAGGAATGAACTGATGCCAATCGTGTCTCTAATACCAGATCCGCGTTATGTGAATGATTTGACCATCGGTGTATGCGATCTCCACCTTCTTCGAACATGACCGGTTCTTCGATAAAGCCAGTATCACCAAAAGCAGATTTTCCCTGTCCCACAGTGCGTTTGCAGTACTCGTCAGCACTTGCAAAATCCAATTTTGCCTTATCATCACCATGGACAAAAGTAAAAACACGCGGTCCCAATGCGCCTCGACTACGTTCCGTTGATTCAGTCACAACCAAAATCCAACAAAACAGAACAATCCCAATTGACATTTTGCACATCTCCGCAAAGCCGAATGGCAATATCCTGCGCCGATTCACAATCAATTGAAGACTGCAAACGATCAATGGTATGCGAAATCTTCCTGCTCAATATGAGCAAAAATCTAAGCTAACGTAAACGATCGAACCAATCAATATTTGGACGTCATTTTCAGCACTTTGGCTTAGAAAACTATGATCGATATTTCGAAACTGAGGCCACTGCGAATCTATTATTGACGAACGCCAATGTCATTAACTTTCCTGGTTTTTCGATGCAAATAATCTGTTAGTCAAAATAACTGAGAATGTCAGTGCTTCGAAACAAAATCACGCACAATTTTTCTCTAGCCTCATAGAACCGTATTCACAGTGATAAACGTTAAAGGAAAATAAACCCATTAACATTTGTTTAGGATAGAAAAATTCATTGAAACGGCAATCGATTGGTATATAGTAGAACGTATTTCAGCACCGACTTTGCGTGGCGTATTGCCGAGGAAACTGAATATGTTCCCTCGAGAAATTTGTTTCCGACAGGTTGCAAGCACATTCTTCAGTTTCCTTTGATTTTACGCTGTTGATAGTTTCTAGTTGGTATTAGATCTGGTGACCTGACAGGCCATGGTATGTAGTGAACACCGCGATATACAATGTGTACAACTAAATTTTTGGACATTGGAATACTGCGTCGTTGTCTTTCTTGGAAGATAAAGGCTGAGATCGGCTCTAGCAACGGCTTTATTTGCAGTCAACTTCCTTGAATTTTTATCTAGCAACGGTTTTGTCCACGAAAACCCTCGCCATCAGACCACAGTGACGCGACAGTGTAAGAAACTGTAAGGTGAGAATTGTATATTTGGCAATGATTCGATGGAGAATCCGTTGCTCTACCAAAATTTGATTAGTCGGTTTCGCTGGTTTGGACACCTATGGCACATACTCAGCTGTCATCTACCACAGTTGCTGCACCTGGTTGGAACAAAACCACGTGGAGGTCAACAGATGACGTGGAAATGAGGCATGAAGAGAGACAGAGCAATTAGATAGAATAGGCTTCTGCCATCTTCCAGGTTGGGATCCAAA